AGAGAGAGACAGAGAGAGAGAGAGAGTGTGGTGTGTGTGTGTGGCCAGCTCAGCCCACCAGGGGGCGGGACTGGCTGGCATGTGGTGCTGGGGGATTGAACCGCGGTCCCTGATGCTTTGCCAAGCTTGTTCCAAGTAGGTGCCTTAGACCACTGAGCCATCTCTCCAGCCCGTCTTTTGAGTTCTTATACTAGGGAGACAATGCAATATTTACACATGTGGGTCTGGTTTATTTCACTTATAGGTATATCTTCAAGTGGCACCCACTTAAATAGGAAGGCTTCGAGTTTATCATTCTTTATAGCTGAGTAATACTCCATTACATAAAAGTAACGCACCTTTTTCAACCATGTGACGGGCATCTTGGTTGTTTCCAAGATCTGGCTATCACAAATTGTGCTGCTATAAACATAGGTACGCATATATCACTATGATATGACGCTTTCAGTTCCTCTGGGAAAATTCCCAGTAGGGGGATAGCAGGCTTGGATGGGATTTCCAGTCCTAGTTTTCTAAGGAGTCTCCACACTGATTTCCATAATGGTTGCACCAGTCTACACTCCCACCAACAGTGGAGAAGGGTTCCCTTTTCCCCACAGCCTCTCCAGCATTTGTTGTTGGGTGATTTCTTCATGATAGCCATTCTTTCTGGGGTGTCATTCTTTGTTTTGAGACACAGTATCACTAAACTGCTTAGGCTGGCCTTGTAGTTGTCATCTTCCGCCTCAGCCTCCTGAGTACATGGGGTTTCTGGCACATACACATGGCTTTAAAGTTAGTTTTTCTTGCCAGGTATGGTAGTGGACACCTGTGCACTTGTCGGCTGAGGCAAAGGGGTTGCCACAAGTTCAAGGTTGCCTTGGAATACATAGTGATATCTTGCACCCCAGCCCACAAATTTAAACTTGTTGCTATTCTTTTTCTTTCAAGATTTTGTGGATTTAGGGGGCCAGGGAGATAGCTCAGTGGAATAAGCGCTTCACTGGCAAGTGCAAGGGCCTGGGTTCAATCCCCCGTTCCACCAAAAAAAAAAGATTTTGTGGATTTACCTGATTGCATTTCCCCAACATTTAAGCTAATTATGCAAGTAATTTTTCAACTGTAATTAATTTAGTAGCGTTGAACTCTCTGAACTACCTCAACAAGGAAGACTTGTGAGTCCAACAGGGAACCCCAACAGGATACATGAAACAAATCTGTGGTTGGAGACTGTTATGGTTTGTGTCTAGTTGTCCCCCCAAAGCCTCATGCAGTCATGGGGTGAGGACTTCTAGAGTTGGTGTTAACTCATGATCCACTGGGATTACGTGTGATCCAAGGCTGGGATTATGGGTTTTAGTACTGCTGGGATTACCCATAGGTGGGTAAGTACTGGGAAGTACCCAAGGTGTGAGTACTTCCCCTACCCTGGGCAGGTAATTTGCATTACAATGTAAGGTGGGAAGAGAAGCTAGCTGCTTGAGCTGCTGCTACCCCTCCCTTGCACTCTTGCTCTTTGCCGCCGCCATGAAAGGTTGCTTTCTGCTCTGTGCTGCTCTGCTTTGGACCCAGCTGAGTATGGACTGAAACCTCCAGTAACTGTGAGCTAAATAAACCTTTCCTTCCTTCATTTTGTGTGTCGGCTATTTGTCCCAGCAACGAGAGAAGAGTAACTAAGACAGAGACGTAATCTGACAGAGGCAAGGAGAAAGTCTGAAACATCGCTAGAGAAGAACGCCCTGCAGGGGCACAAGGATTTGATGAGTGTGGATTTCTTATCAGAAGCCAAGGGGGCTGGAAGGCAGCAACACATTTTGAGTTGTGGAAGGGGCTGTCCACCCAGGATTCTGTGCTCTGTATAAGTAGCTGTCAGGAGAGAAGACTCGGTGGACCCTCTGGGGCCAGGAGCTGCTCTGGGATCATTGG